ATGTAGACAATGGCGTTCATTATTGATTTTGTTTCACTTCTTTTTGGCCATCCTTTTTGTTTAGGGAGCTTAGGAATTTCCTGTTAAATGTTTTAACTTATGTAGTATGTTATAAGATAGTTTCGTTTGACCACAAAGAACTGAACAATATTCAGAGCATTGTTTCGCTGGCCGTCTGCTCACTGACAAATGACACAAACCCCAACTTTCATACGCTGAGGCTGAGGATGAAAATTGAATCCAGTGGCTTTCACAATCGCCATGTCATCAAACAGGAAAACTCTCACAAAGCATATCCGCAGGAAAGCGTACAATAAAATCTCGACCCACTTCCACTCCGATTTTCATTTCCATTCCCAACTTTTGTTTTTCTTTTGAATTTTTCATAAAGGAACAGAAGCGAGTTTTGTGGACATTAAAATGCCACAAAACGTTTTATAGTAATTTTTCATCTTTTCGACGGTCTGCCCCCAAATACCTCACATCCCGCCGGAGATTCGGCGGGGTGTTCAGAGGGGAAGGGGGGAGGGGGTGGAAGGACTGTGGAAGGAGTTGGATGAGCAGGGTCTTACGGCGGCACAAAGCCGCCGACGTTTATGTTGATCTCGTGCAGCGAAACAGCGCGTTTTTATCTTCGTATGACAAGTTAATAATGTGTCAGTCCAGGCGCCGTCCTTCAAGGATGGACCTGATGCCCATGGGCGGCCCACTGGGGTGGCTATGTGGATTCCGCATCCGTATCCGCATCCGCCCCCGCATCACAACCCACGGCATCAGATAAATGCCGGCACGCCTCTTGTTTTTTCTTATTGAAATTTCGCTGCGTCCGGAAAGCCTTGGGTTAAGTATTTCCGTGGAGTTTTAACGGATTTATTGTGATTTTTGGGTCACGTGTCTGCTGAGGAATTTGCTTAGCCTCTTTCGCTGATAATTGATTTTCATTTGATTCATTCGCTCGGAGGTCTACAAAGCTGGGGATGCAAATTGAATAAGCTTGAAAAACATAAAATTAAAAAAAACAGCCTTTGGTCATATTTACCAATAAAATAGTTGCAGATTGAAGATGGTTCATTGACTGTGAAATATTTACTTTTGAGTAAGACGTTATGTAATACGTTTACGAAAGGCTTACCATCAAAAATGGTTATTTAATTAAAAAAAGCTAGAAATCAACAGCCCATGCATACTGGTTAATTTACTATGTTTATAGTAAATTGCCTTTACCTCGAAAATGTTGAATCAACTATGCACTGTTTATTACTATAAAATAGTATTTCTGTTAAAAACTGATTTACTTTTTTAAATTATCAAATTACTATTTTCAAAAGTAAGTTTTACCAACATCATTTGAAAGGCTTTTAGCTAGTATCGAAGTATGTAAAGTCTTTCAATAGACAATATCCTTTAATGTAATGTCTACTTATCAGTGTCTTACTTGTGGAGGGCCAGAACCAGTTGGAAATTATAAACAGACAGAGTAAATTAAAAAGGCAACCATTTTAAAAGTTACTTTGCAAGTTATCACGCAACAACCAAATATATTAAAATACTTACGTTAGCGAAACTATTTTTCAAAGTAAAATAACTATTTCAAAAGAGTATAAGACTATAACTAAATACACACATTACGTAATACAAAACATAGTAAACCTACTATAATAGTAAAACTATTTTTAATAGCCCAAAAACTATGACCATTGGTAAATTTGACTAAGAAAACTTTTTGTGTGTGTGAATTTAATAAAATGCTCGTATGCTGAATAACGCTTTGACTCAGTGCTCGATATTGATTGCGGCCCGAATTTATCGAGAGAGTAACAAATTACAAACCAACCCATCTTCGACAGTTTCGAGGCGAGAAATTATTTTACATTCATATCTCGAAAGTTACGACACCCCAGGGAAATTGGTGTTGGTCAGTTAGCGACATCTACCCCGACAGCCATTATCCACCCAAATTCCCGGCATCGAGGGTCTGCGAATCGCCTTCTGTTAAGTATAAATCTTGCATCGGAATCACAGGCAGAATGCTTAGCATGCGGGTCACACACGCGGAAATGGGATAAATGGATATGAGATATGAGATATGGAAAGGCAGCCAGGTGCCCAGGAGACCAGAAATAAAGGGAACATTTTTAAACTATTACAGCCTACGGTCTTCAGAATTTATATTCCAATATTGAAAATTATAGGAAAGAGTCCTGAATTACCACAGGCGATATTTATTTTCGGGTTTTCGGGTTCTATCGGTAACCACACGGTATACCAGTTCAATATATATTGGAAATTGTTAATAAGATTCTTTAACTAAATTGAATTGATAAGCAGCCACAGTTCCGTTGGCTTATCTTTATCAAGGTTACCCATTTCGCGTCAATTACTTGCGACCCTGTTTGGTTGAGGTCACCTTAAGCTGAACTCCCCGACGAGGCCTAATCAAACGAACATCTTTGATGTTATCTGCCAGCCGCCTTTGGCCTAATTCAATTGGCAAGCCGATTTGGCTATTCCGGGGAGGACAAGTCATTTGTAAATTGGGTTGGGCTATAAAATTTCGTTTTTACCGCTTCGTTGTCGTAATAGAACTCATTTATTGAATGTTGGGCTCAGTGCCCCGCCTAAATTAATGTAAATTTGCATTGGCCAGGGCCGCGGCGAGATGTACCAAGGGGATGTATATATAATATTTTGCCGGGAAACGGGCTGAACTCGGCTCCACTGTGACCCTTCTAAACGTTCCATAATTCGCTTATTATGCGCTCGATGCTGCTCACTTTTATGTTTCGCCACATTTCCTGGCACCCAGGAGCACCCTCCCCCGACTCCAGCCCCATTTCCAGTGCCAATCGAGGGTGGAAGCGAAGCCCCTGTGGTCATGGCCCGAACCCTCGGCGGTTCATATTCAGCCATAATTTATGTCGCCCTGCGCCGGCTTCTGGATCTGTTTCCGGGCCAAAGGCATGTGTATGGCACCAGCACCAGCTCCAACTCCAACTCCAACTCCAGCTCCAGCACCCAAACACCTTCTCGGCAGTGGTTGATGTGCTCGCAAATTTATTAAAATTCTTCCGCCAGATACTTTTTATTACGGCATATCTGTCAAATGACGATGCAAGTGCGTGTTCGACAGAGTTGCGATAAGTCGACGAATTCACACTCAGAACAAGAGAGGAGGCTGGCATCGTCGAATCGAAGTCAGTGTACCCTTGCATTTAAAACCGAAAATAGTTACCACATTTCAGATCTTCATACCAATTTTAGTAGAGACTTTAAAAAAACCAAACCTTTTTTTTCCCTGTCAGACAAACTAATTTTACAAAATTTTATTACAAATTAGTTTAATCGTATGTTGCTTTCGAGGCTTAAGATTAAATTATGGATTTTGATCATTTAGAATAAGCAATGGTTTTATCCAACGACAACTGCTGTGAATGTGAACAAAACTCAAAAATTAAAATCTTTTTGTGAAGACTGTTTCATTGCCGGAGACAAGCTTCCTATATTCAAATATTTTCTAGTTGTTACCCATTAACCAAATACCCTGGCAAATATTTTACAGCAATCATTTTGTTCTATGCCGTATGATTTTGTTTTGTTAAGATTTAATTATGATCATGATTTTATTCAGCATTGATTCTAATTAATTTTAACAAATATGATCCGAAATATAAATTAAAATTGTTAATATCTCTGGACAGAAGTACCATTTCGATAACCATTTATGTTTTATTTCTTTATATTAGTATTTTTAAATAATGCTTATATGATACAATTAATCGAAAATAGATTTATCTGCATACAAATATTTACTTTCCTGCGTTGCAAGTTTTCGATAACATTTTTGTATAATTTTTATTATTTCCGGTTTTTAATTATTGTAATTGATGTAACGTGCTTTGGTTTTTAAGGTAGTATTAAACTGAATTTGATAAAAAACCTTATCGGCTTATTTTTACAAATTTTTTTCATGACTAAAGAATTTATTTTGTGTATACAAAATAGTGAAATTTAATAGCTTAAACATAAACATTTACATTTCAATTTTATTTATTTAATTTTAAGTCATCAACTTAAAAATAAGAAGACTATTTTCGTCAAACTTTCTTGATAAACTTGACACTTTGCTTCTGAAATAAGGTGCTTAATCATTACAAGTTTCCAAGACCAAGTTATATAAAAATAACTCACCGTTTATGCGAATATATATATATTTTTTAATTTTGTTTGTATCTTTATGTCAAAGCCATGCTTAAAGTTATTAAAATATAACCCGATTGTTCCCATGGCCAAGTTGTCCGATTTTGGTGACCCCATCCCGATTCAACTGCGCCTTCCGTGGAGTCTTTTTTTCTCAGATCCATCCTTTCTGGCCGGATAAATGTTCGAAATGTTTCTCTCAGTGCAGAAGGAAGAAGCCCCGCTGTGTGTGTGTCTGGATGCCGCAACAAAGGCAACAAGAGCAAAAACAGCAACATCGCGTCCCCGCGTGGCCCGCATATTACGGATTTCCTCTGGGATTCCGGGGCATCGGGCCTGTTCCTTTGATATTGTAATGCGCGTAATAGGATTTTTATGACACCTTCTTTCTGGTGGGCAGCCGTTGCCAATGGCACTGGCTGCGATTAAGCGCCATCCGCTCCCCATCCGCTTCCGCCTGCGAAGGACGATTACGAGGACGAGGACGAGGACGAATCCGCTTGTCACCAAAGTTGTGAATTTTATCGGCCGGATGTGTGCGCGGCATGTGGTTTCTAGATTTGCATCAGATCATGAATTTCACGCGACGCTAATGGGCACATTAGCATCGACTACACGCGTTTATTGCCCCCTCGACTTTGGTAAGTGCATGTGCTAAATTTTTAATATGCAAATTTCGGTTGAGGGCTGTCGAGCCCACCTTTGGCATTTCATTTGCACTTGTGCTGCATATTTTATTCCGTTATTGTTGTTCGTACACGGCATTATTGCACACAAATGGCCAGTCACACATTAAGGTGGCTCTAACTGCGACCGTAAGTCGTCGGGATTCCTGGGGGATGTGGATGAGATCCGGATGTCAGGATGTCCGGATGAGACTGCGACTGGGACTGGGACCTGAACTCCAGACGACTGCCTTCTTGGGGACTGTCGTTACAGGCCTCTGGAATTCATTTCGTAACATTTCTCAAAGGTGTCGCCCCATGAGGCGGGATGTAATTTTGCTGCACTCGAAAATATCAATTGGATAAATGAACTAAAAACAAGAAAGGAGCCGAAGTTGATATACCCTTGCTGAATATTCTGTAAATTATATTGGTTGGCCAAAAATAAAACCAATAAATACCAACTTCCTATCTTTAAAAACACCAAAGTTATGGCATTTCCGATCGTTCAGTTATATGGCAGCTATATGATATAGTCGCCCGATCCGGCTCGTTCCGACTTATAAACTACCTGCAATAGAAAGACAACTTTTGGGAAAGTTTCAAGCAGATAGCTTTAAAACTGAGGGACTAGTTTGCGTAGAAACGGACGGACGGACATGGCTATATCGACTCTCCTGGTGATCCTGATCAAGAATATATATACTTTATAGGGTCGGAAATGTCTCCTTCACTGCGTTGCAAACTTCTCACTGAAATTATAATACCCTCTGCAAGGGTATAATTACAGTGGAATTCTAAGTCTTTATGTGAATCCACAATTTTGTACTTATATTTAAGTATGTAGAATTAAATCAAGCATAGTATGTATTATTATAAAAAGAAATTAGTCGAATATGTCCTTTTCTCTGGGTGATATTGATGTCATTTTATTATTTAAAATTTACAGTTTCCGTTATCCAACCCGCGTATGATGTAATATTTGTAAGAATAAGCACACCGTTCTTCACAAAGCTCATAATGCCGTAGAGAAAAAACTTTTCGCCCGACGACGTGTATTCGTTGGCACCAAATACGCCACCTGAATTAAAAATGGAGAAAGGTTCTTTCACACAAATTTGATCTTCATATATGAGATGTCCAATGGTAATAGAGCAATGGTAACGATCAATGACGGTGAAGTTCCAAAAATCAAATTTATAATAAGCATAAGGAAGGGCGATAAGCAATGTTCGTGGGTTTTCCGACTTCTGAAGAGTTGGGCGGAAGCAGATCGGTGCCAGATTTTCTGAAGCAAGGTAACGAAAGTTAAAAAAAAATGAGTTTAGTAAAATAAATTAACTTACCAGAATAACGCGCATTTCGATCAAGTTCAATCAAAGCTATATCATTTGCAAAACTCATTTTGAAGTCGGTGAATTCGGGATGTTTGTGTATAGATTTAGCGGTAAAGTTGTTACCGTCGGGCGTTCTAAGTTGTCTGCATCAAAAATATAAACAACAAATTGTAAATAAATTTGTAATAATTATCTTATATGGTTCTCTCTTTCTGTGCTTGACAGTTTAGTAACTGATGAAAAATAAGATAATAAAACAAGAGAGAACGCTATAGTCGGGTGCCCCGACTATCAGATACCCGTTACTCAGGTAAAGGGAGTGCGAGGGAGATGGAGATAAAAACCTTGAACACGCATAACTTTTTAACGAATGGTCTGATTTGAAAAATTTCTTCTACATTTCGATAGGTATTGATAAACACAATAAAACTGCATTTTTACTTTTCCGAAATATTTAAATTTTTAAAATCGTATATTAGCGACTGTGGGCGTTAAAGGGGGCGTGGCACCAGTTTGAAACAAACTTGCGCTGCGTAGGAACTCCTAAAATCTACATGCAAAATGCCAATCTTCTAGCTTTTATAGTTTCCGAGATCTCAGCGTTCATACGGACAGATAGACAGACAGACAGACGGACAGACAGACGGACAGACGGACATGGCTAGATCGACTCGGCTAGTGACCCTGATCAAGAATATATATACTTTATAGGGTCGGAAACGCTTCCTTCTAGCTGTTACATACTTTTGCACGAATACAATATAACCTTTTACTCTACGAGTAACGGGTATAAATATTGTTTATAACAGGGCATTGGTATAGTATATATTCTTATCTAACTAAAATAATCAAACTTATTTTAGTTTAAGTTGAAGGGAGAACACACTTCAATAAATTTAAAAACTCTTGATTATTTTTGATCCATAACAGTTCGTGTCAAGGTCCTATTTGATCAGATAATGTCGATGCATTTGTATTAAGATCCTAAGTCCATTTTATGATCCACGCAATCAAATAATAACTTCACAAATAATAACTTCGAGCGATTTCAATAAAAATCTCAAATAGGTTGATATTATTTCATTGTTAATTGGTACTTACATCTCTAAATCTGTGAGCAAATTACTTGCAACAGTAAGAACAAATCCTAGAAAACGTAAATTAAAATGTTATCGAGTATTATGTTTACGATTGAAAATAATTACGATTTGTGATTAAGGAGCATGAAGGCATTTGGATATTAACAAAACAGCCTAGAAAACGTAAATTAAAATATTATCGACTATTAAGTTTACCATTGAAAATAATTACCCGTTATGGTGGTGCAATATAATAATAGTACTTTCCAGGATACGTCAACATCTCCATGTTTATCCCGACTGTTGCTGCAGTTCTCATCCAACAAGGGCTCCTGATCCTGATCGTAATTGTTAGCCAAAATGGTATCTTTGATCCATTGTCTGTAGAACGTAACGTTCGCGTAGTTGGCACTAGCGTTGCAGAATCTGGAACCAACGCTAGTGATCCCAATCAATGTGGGGAATACGAATCCCCGATATGTGATATTGGCGACCAGTGGACCACCTGAGTCACCATGGCAAGTGTCGCCTCTTTCGGCACCAGCGCAGATCTGCGATTCCTCGTGAAACTTTAAGCAAGATTGCGGTGTGTGGGAAAGATTGATGGTCTTAAGGATTGGGCTTAAGTAAAGGTTCTCCGTTGCACCCCAGCCATATGCCGAGAAATTCACGATTGACGACGTTTTAAGCCCGTCACCAGTGACAATGCAGATCGAACGGATATATTCTAATCAACAACATTAAATAAATTTAAAAAAAGTATTACTCCACATTGAACGATCTCATCTTACATATACGGAATTCTTTTAAATATAGACTATTAAAACGGAAATTGAATTGCATTAAATAATCAAGTATGCACTGTGCTAGGGCTTAAGAAATCTGAAATTTAATTTAAATCAAACAAGAAAGGAAAGCTAACTTCGGGCGGAGCCGATATATATACCCTTGCTGAATATTCTGTAAATTATATTCTTAATACTCATAAAAAGTCGCAACTTCCTATCTTTAAAAACACCAAAGTTATGGCATTTCCGATTAATCAGTTATATGGCAGCTATATGATATAGTCGCCCGATCCCGCTTGTTCCGACCTATATACTACCTGCAATAGAAAGACAACTTTTGGGAAAGTTTCAAGCAGATATGTTAGCTTTAAAACTGAGGGACTAGTTTGCGTAGAAACGGACAGACGGACAGACGGACATGGCTATATTGACTCTCCTGGTGATGCTGATCACGAATATATATACTTTATATACCTCGTTGCAAACTTTTGACTGAAATTATAATACCCTCTGCAAGGATATAAAACGTATCTATTTATAATATTCATTATTATAGCACGAGTAATGTTTTTTACCGATTCAATTCCAAAAACAAATTTAAGGAGTTAAAACGTAAAAAACAAATTAATAAAAAAATAGTAATGCAAAAAATCGTCAGAATATCTCCTTATTGTAAGTGTTTTTAAGAAAGGTTATATAATTTCCTATGGTTATTATTATCTTACCATTGTAAACCACTTCAACGCTCAATTTTAAAATAGCGATATCATTTTCGTTGGTAAAGTCGTTAAAATGGGGATGATGTATGGCCTTAATCACATCATAATTTTTTATTTCTGGGCACTTTTCTTCTGGGCAGGTTATGTCGTACATCCCTAAGCTCACCAGACTAAGCGAAAAAGATTAGACAAACAGTTTTTTCTGCGTCGGCAGGGTACTTACAATTGTTGATTATTTTTAATGCAGTGGGCGGCTGTCAAGACGAAACCTGGAATGAATGCGATTAAATGATTGCCAGTTTAATATGAAATAAGTGTACGTACGTGGATGAACGAGCGTGCCTGCGCAAAAAAAATTAGTTCCATTGCTTATGGCAGCAATCCAAGGAGTAGTACCCGGGCGTGCATTAGTTCCTGAAGTTACTCTTTCTTCGAGGTAATCGTCACAATTACTATCCAAAAGTTGACGCATTTCATCGTGGCAGAATACCAAGACAAACAGTCCTAAGAAAATCACAAAAGACGTCATTCCTAGAGAAGATATTTGAAATTACTAAATGCTATCTCCAATTTTTTTCGAAACGAGAACTTATAGGGAGGCTTATCAACAGCTCTTAAATTTAAGGCTAGTAGATTATTTGGCACTGCTGATAATTAATTTTAATGGTGGTTTGTTATTCTTTATAATTCTTCATAATTTCTTATAATTAAAAATCTTGTATGTTAATGTCTGTGGAAAAAACAAGTTTTGGAGATATTTCCGGTAATTAATTTTGATTAAAAATGTCTATAATTTATATGTTTTTGGGTATTTATCAACGTTTAAAATATTTTTACGAAAATTAAGTAGCAATCTTCGACCAAAAAATTGTTTAATAAAAACAAGAAAGGTAAGCTAATTTCGGGCGGAGCCGAAGTTGATATACCCTTGCAGAATATTCTGTACATTATATTCTCCAAAATTATTCATATACCAGTTATATGGCGGCAACAGAATATAGTAAGCCGATCCTTATGAAATTTGGTAGGTCGGATTGATTGGCCAAATATAAAACCCATAGAAAATCCCAACTTCCTAACTTAACAAACACCAGTTATAGCATTTCCGATCAATCAGTTGTATGGCAGCTATAGGATATAGTCGGCCGATCCCAGCCGTTCCTACTTATATACTGTATGCAAAGGAATGGAGAGTGTCTGCAAAGTTTCAATTGGATATCTTTAAAACTGAGCAACTAGTTCGCGTAGAAACAGACAGACGGACAGACGGACAGACGGACATGCTTATATCAACTCAGGAGGTCAGGATCACCCAAGAATATATACACTTTATAGGGTCGGAGATGTCTCCTTCACTGCGTTGCACACTTTTTACCAAAATTATAATACCCTCTGCAAGGGTATAACAACCTAATTTTAGTCAACCTTTAAGATATAGTCGTTCGAAAAAGTTTTATTTTGAGACACCGGGCGAATAAACAGGATAGAACCATACTGCCACCCGAGTTTGATAAAACTCAAGATATTGGTCCAAAAATGGGATACAAACAATATATTAGACAACAACATCGAAAAATAAAAAAAATGCTTCAAAAACAGTAAATTTAACATACTTGACATGACATCCGATTAGTGATATTTTCAAACTTGATCTGCGAACACAAAAAAAATTTATATTGCGAAGGGGGCTAGCTTTCAAACTCTATAAATCAACTGGTCTAGCTATTGCTGATCAAGAATATATTCTCATATATATATGGGCTTTAAAGGGTAGAACATTTCTCGTTCACCCCGTTACAAACATCTGAATAAATAAATACCCTCAGCAAGGGTATAACAAAATTGAATTTGATTTTTTACCGACTTAAGTTTAAATATGTTTCAATTTACTAGGACATTTTTTCTCCTTTTTGCACATTTTTTAAAAAGAAGACTTTCTCCAAAAGTTTGGAATAACAATCAAGTGTTCGTACAAAAAGAGAAAATTTAAATAAAAACTAATAATAGCATACATAATTGTCACCCAGTTATTTCTAGCTTAATCAATAATTACCTTTTTATAAAGTAGATGTTTTCCTCCTAGTTTCCCTCATGTACTTTGGTCAACACTTAACTTAATTTTTAAATATCTTATTTAATCATGTTACCACTTTTATGCAAGCTCTAGCCAAAGCATTCATTCATCTGCTCCTCTTGGAGTTTTTGTGCCAACTATTAACGCTTGCAAGGGATTGCGAGCAAAGGAAATTAATTATAAATGGCAATTTGATGCAGTAACTGACGGGAAGGTGACAGTCAAGACACCTAATATTTCGTCATCCCAGCGATTCCTGGGGGTCAGGGTGCCCCATCTCAGACCGCCAGTGCAAAATAAATCAGAGGCAGATTTCCTAATGATATTTTTGATGGCCGAGCCGTCCATCCGTGAGGTCTGCGTAAATATTTTTGCTGTAACAGGGAACACGTAGCTGAGGGAATTACGCAAAATGCGGTTTACAATTCAAGAGGGTGAAATCAGTCCTCTGTAAATAATTTCACATCGGAGGCAGGCCCAAATTGGGAGCGTACAAATTGTCGAGTGATAAATGGTCTTAACAGGATTCTATTTATTTTTCGCTGTGTTGTGCCAAGGTTACTCTTCATTACGTTTTTCGGTTCGCCTGACGCTTCAACAAAATGCCAGCCAGCATCACTTTATTTTAGCATAAAAGTGTACATAATTTGACATTGACAATACACGGGACAAGTGCGCGGGTGGTTGTTACCCAGTCCTGAAGGTCCTGAAGGTCCTGAAGCTCCTGAAGGTCCTTAAAAGGGGCCGGGGGGCGGGCTGAAGCGCAAATTGATTAATTGGTTTGTGAGCGTCTAATTAAATAAAGCGGTTCAGCGCCCGGTACCAAATAACAAAATAACAAAATAACCAAATAGCCAAACAACCAAATAGATCGCCGTTGGACCCACGTCACTGCTTTTGAGCAACACATTTTTTGCTCTTCGTTTTTATTAATGTGACGGCTATTTGTTTCTAGTAAGCAATTACAAAGCAATTTTATAGCAATTACCTTCTTCTAACAGCTTGGGACAAGGCGTTTTAAAGCTGTTTTGGGGCAGCCACACCCAAATCCCCTCCACTCCGACCCAAAATATGGCCCGTCCCCTGGAAATGTGCAACTCACCCCGCATGTTTTCCCCTCCACGATTCCGTAATGTAATTTTGGCCTTATTTTGGGACAGATGTGACCAGGGCATGTGCTGTGAAATATATCTTCTCTTTTGGCGTTCTTTTCACCCAGATTTCGACGCTTTTTGGATCGGTCAGCTCGTGGGCACCACCTGTAATTTCATTGGGATACTTAGTGGCCTAAGTAGTTTTAAATCACCTGTTCGAGGGCTTCAATTATGTGACAGTATGTTGTGTCAAAAGCATATCTATTGATTTGTTTTTCCGAAAGTTAATTAAGCTTGTTCTTAATGTAGCAAACATTGTAACACATGATGTACATGATGTAGTAAGTAACGCACCTCGAAAAAGTAGGAATAAGGCTTACTATTTGATACTTTTTTATACCCTTGCAGAGGGTATTATAATTTTGGTCAAAAGTGTGCAACGCAGTGAAGGAGACATCTCCGACCCTATAAAGTATATATATTCTTGATCAGGATCACCTCCTGAGTTGATATAGCCATGTCCGTCTGTCCGTCTGTCCGTCTGTCCGTCTGTCCGTCTGTCCGTCTGTCTGTCCGTCTGTCTGTTTCTACGCGAACTAGTCTCTCAGTTTTAAAGATATCGAACTGAAACTTTGCACACACCCTTCTTTCCTTTGCACGCAGTATATAAGTCGGAACGGCCGGGATCGGCCGACTATATCCTATAGCTGCCATATAACTGAACGATCGGAAATGCCATAACTTTGGTGTTTGTAAAGTAAGGAAGTTGGGATTTTCTATGGGTTTTGTATTTGGCTAATCAATCCGACATGCCGAATTTCATAAGGATCGGCCGACTATATCCTATAGCTGCCATATAACTGAACGATCGGAAATGCCATAACTTTGGTGTTTGTAAAGTTAGGAAGTTGGGATTTTCTATGGGTTTTGTATTTGGCTAATCAATCCGACATGCCGAATTTCATAAGGATCGGCCGACTATATCCTATAGCTTCCATATAACTGATTGATCGGAAATGCCATAACTTTGGTGTTTGTAAAGTTAGAATGTTGGGATTTTCTATGGGTTTTATATTTGGCTAATCAATCCGACATGCCGAATTTCATAAGGATCGGCCGACTATATCCTATAGCTGCCATATAACTGATTGATCGGAAATGCAATAACTTTGGTGTTTTTAAAGTTAGGAAGTTGGGATTTTTTATGAGTATTAAGAATGCATCATATGAATAATTTTGGAGAATATAATTTACAGAGTATTCTGCAAGGGTATATCAACTTCGGCTCCGCCCGAAGTTAGCTTTCCTTTCTTGTTTATGCATGACATTACATTTTCAGAATAGTTTGCATACTTATAATTTGAATCATAGCAATGACCAAACGCCTTGAATTAAACTTTACATACGCTTTACAACAATGTTGTCTTACTACTAAGACTTCTACTACTTGTACTATTCCTACTCTTTTCCTATTTTTATATTCCCTCTCTAGATCTCCTGATCTCTTGTTTTTTTTTAAATTGACTGAAATGATAGTGTTTGTTGCATATTTCAATTTGTCAAAAACTAACATAGACACTAAATAAACGCAAAAAATAAAACAACAAGCAATTTCAATATAAAAATAATTTTATACCTATCAGGAAATGTTTTAACTAAGAACTATGTTTTTTTTTAACTCAAGGAATGTGCCTAAAACGCTTATTCAAAAACAATAAAATTAAGTAAATTTTAACCGCTTGTTTCTTTGACAGGGTACATATTCTGCTGAACGCCAAGTTGATTAGCATACATACCAAAAAATAACAATTGCAACCTTTTATGTTCATGGTGTAAAAACTCAGATTTAATAAACGACACAGAGCCGTATGGTCATATATAGTCAACTGATTTTTATTGAAAAATAAATTGAAATCATTTCATTAAAAAAATCAGCGAGAGACAGTGTGTTTTGACAACATGTCTAGTGATGTGATGAAGGATATTGGATATTGAAGGATATTTATTGGAACGAAAATATGGCATTAACTGCGGTGCAAACATTTGACTAAAATTATTAAACCCTTTGCAAGGGTGCAAATATGCAAATATTCTATTGTTATTATGAACATTAGACTAACAAATTTCTAAATCAAGATCTAAACGATCTCCTATGGACTATCAATTCACAGAGCAAATTAGCTGCATTAGCATGAAATACAGAGATATGAAGCACTATATCC